TTCAAAATCAGGTACTTATTCAACACAGCCAGTTTATTCACTTGTGTGATCTTCAACCGTTTTTAGTTCTTATTTGTTTGGTCAAGTGTCTCCAACTCAAAGTGGTTATTTTTGACATATAGTAAAAAAGCTTTGTTTTTGTGTTATTTCAAGTCATATTCAGCCTTTGTTCTCATCAAATTTTCTGAGGCAACGTTTTAATCTTGTATAGTATTGTCTTTCATTTGTTATACCAGCGAAACTTTTTTCAAATATTTCAACTCTTATTACTATTATTCTCCTACATCTTTGTAATTAAAGTAATATTTTTGTGTGGTCTTTATTTTCTTGATCAAGTTATGTTCGAAAGTTTTTAAATTAGTTTTGGTGTTTTTTAATGCCATTTTTAAAGTTATTGGCAGAGCCAAATTGTTTGTATTCCACGACAACTTCATTATTCAAACATTGATCATATTGTATGTTACTTCCAACCATTTTTCGTTCTTCTTCTTATAAGTAGTTATTGATTAACTTGAATTATAAAGTCAATCACTTTTAGTCATTTTTATTGTGTCATTTGCTTTGTTTGAGTGTATCACTTTTTCTGTTATTTATTTTCAACCGCTCTTTTAGCAACATTAACACTATCGAGTTTATGTTCTTTTAACAATTTATTATAATAATATTATATAATATTAATAATATTATATCATGTTATTATATACTTCATGTATTTAATTGCTTATGTTATAACATCAATTTTATAATCGGTTTTGTACTATGTAATTGTATGTGCAAAACATACTCATTTGGTTGATTTAACACTATAAATAATGGTGTAGTTAATATAAGTTCAATACAATTCATATCTAATGTAAAAAATAAACACTTTGACTTTTGGATGAAAAATTTACTCTCTCAATCGCGTTCTTTGTTGGCATAGATTCTTTTTGATATTTATTAATAAAATCAAAATATCTTTCAACAAATATTGTTGTTGGAGACACTGTTAATGATATTTGAGCGACTTGCAATAAGTTGTGGTAGTGACCAACTTCAAGTATTTCATAAATATCGACTAAATTTATCTTCATTTTACTCCCAACGTACTTCTCAAGATCGACATCATATTGGCTTCGAGGTAAAATATTACCAGAACTTTCAACTATATAATCTATATCTGTTTTA